ATAATGAATGAATTGATGTAATACTACATTAGGAGAATCTGTCATTAAATGAAACCGTGCATATTAAAATGATAAAATTCAATTAATTATTTCATTTCAACATTTTAGACTGTCGCAGAGTAGACGCTTTAATAGTTTACTATCAACATAGTCAAAAATAAAAATTAGAAAAAAAAAAACGTGATGTCCAGTTTACAACAACAAGATCAGACAACTGGTATAACTGCTGCTAATGGTGATGGAAATATATTTTATTCAAAATTAGGCGGCACCACATCAACTACACCATCACAATCACTATCAACAACATTAGCTGATCAAACGTAAGTTTGAAATTGAAAAAATTTTGGAAAAAAATGGAGTGAAAATTTGAGAATATTTCAAGCTGAAAATGTACTCATAAATCGAAAAATTTTTTAGATCGTATATTTGAGATTATTCAAGCAAAAAAAAAAAATGCCGATTTTTTTAACAATGAATTTTTAGTATGAAATTTTATAAATTTGTATGCAAATTTTTGAAGCAAAAAATTAGTCAGTTTCATCATTGGACGAATATGCAAATTTTTGAGACAATAAAAATTAGTCAATTTTATCAATGGATGAATATGCAAAATTTTTATGTCCGAGCCTTTCAAGCTTTAGTGTTTACTGTTTTGATACTGTGATATCAATCAATTCGCTCATATATCATTCTTGTTTTTTTTTTACCTTTCAGACTGTATGAGAATTATAATTTGAAATGGGATGAAGCTTCATTGGAACAAAAAATGGCGGCACTAAAATTGGAAACCCAAAAACAATTACTCAATGAATTTATGATTCGAAAGGCTCAAATGCAGAATATTCCGTTAACTTATCCGACTGAAATTCATGTTAGTATGAATACTTTTAGCAATAATTATCAGTAATTTTAACAATGCTTTTGTTTCAAAACTAATTTAATTTAATTAGCATAAAAATGATGCAACAATTATTTATCTCATATTCTTACTTCCAATAATAAAAATTGAGCGCACATTAAGAAAATATGCAAATATGAGCTAAAAACAATAAAATTAAATTAATGCAAAAAATTTTAGCTTCGTACAACAAAAGCGCCAAGTCAGCGAAACCGTGAACTGTATAAGACAGCATTATGCGATTTTTGGACCGCTGGAATACCATGTCGATTTGGTGAACGTTGTTGGTTAGTAAATATTTTATTTGAACTATTGTAAAACTATTAATCTTCGTTACCGTAAGTATGTTATTATGGTATCGCAAAAAACAGTAAAAAAAAAAAACTTTCAATTTCAATTTTTCTTTTTCAAATGTAAATATGTAAGAATAGCAATTTTAGGTTTGCGCATGGTCCACATGAACTTCGTATTGCACGTTTTGTTTATCCTGGTTTGCATCCATATGATTATGAAGTTCGTATGAACACTCCAAATACATTATCATCATCTTATGGACGAGTAAACTTTCTTCAAATATTTTTGTAAAATTTTTAAAATTTTAAATTTTAAATATGTTATAAAATTTAAAACTAATAAATTTCTTGCATTTTTTTTTTTTGCAGCATCTTTGGAATTTGGAACAAAATTATCCAGTAGCTGGTGTACAATCTACACAACATATAACGATCACTCCAATGGGTCAAAATGTACCAATTGGTTATGAACGCAAACTTCGACGCATATCTCCGATTAATGAGAATATGGTCAGATGTTTTGAGATTTAAAAATTCTTGCATTCACAATGTCCTTAATCATCTCATCTTCACATTATTAAATGAGAAATTTCAGAATTCAAAAAATTGGCGTACAACACAACGTGTATCAGATGGTGATTCAGGTATCGGAAGTACAGGCACCAATAATTCACCAGAAGTTAACGCAAAATATGTATGCTTTAATTGTTAAATTTCGGGAAAAGTTTTGGTAAAGTCATCAGAAATTCGTAAATGCGCATAAAATTTATTTATCGATAAATTTACCAAAAACAGTATACTAAAAAAAAAAAAGAAAATTGATATCTTCAAAAGTAAATCAATTAAAAAAAGAAAATATCTGATAATAACATTTCCGAAAATTTTCGGACGATATTTTTTCTTCAGTTATTCTATATAT